TCAGGTTGCTGTGTCTGGAACTTTTTTAAAGATCCACTTAGCCTACTTAGATCTAACATAACTTTTGTTTGTAGTAATCTGTACAGGAATTCTTTCAGGGAATTCTTGCTAGGAAAATTGTGGTATTTAATTGTGGTTGTACAGAGAAGCAGGTGCTGTGTACCTCGGGGTTACTTACAAAACGAATTAAAAGACATTTTTCCAGCTAATAATTTATTTTTCTTTTGTTTAATTAGAAATGTCCATAACACTTTAAAAAGAAGCTAGAGAGTACAGTAGAATTTAGGTAGGATAAATCCTCTTTGTCTTTATTTAGATAATTTTCCACTTTTCTTTTTTCTTCCTAGTTTATATAGGAAAGAAAACTTTCTAGTTTGTATAGTGTAGTCAGTCTGGAAAAGAAAAACATTCACCCTATTGTAATACTGCGTCTGTTACATCACTCCTGAGACATGATCTGATGTAATGTTATAGTGTCAAATGTCTCAGCTTTCTTCTATGACCAGTAATGACTGATTTAAAGATATCACATTTAGTTGGTTGAGCTTGTTCAGTATTACAAATTGCTCTATTAATTAGAAACTTTCAGAAGAGAAAATGATTCTCTAAACTGCATTCAAAGTTGAACAGTGTTCCCCAGGAGATCGCTATATTTCTTTAAATATCCAATATATTATCCAATAATATGTATCCAATGTATAGGTCTACTAGATACTTAAATATTTTTTTAGACTAGATTAGAAACTCCAGTCCATCTGCCTGCGGTAGTTCTGAACACCTTAAAATAATACAACAAATTAGATACTGAGAAAAGGAAGGCCTTTCAAGTACGAGGTCTCCATATGTAAATTTTTAATATCCCTATCTTCAAATCATTCCACAGTACAAAGCTGAAAACAGAATCTGTAATACACTTTCTACATCAGACTGCCTCTTCAACGTTTTCCAGCCTATATGCTGCCAGTGAAATAGCTGCTTATAGCTTATATCCCTTTACATCTTTTGTTTACTACTCGTTTTGTATTATGAAACAGACCTATGAATCTGTCTATGTTTACTGTGATTGCTTGTGATTATTCCTTGCTGCTTCTTCTAGATATTTAATTATACTTTGAGTTTATCATTTAAATCTTCTCTATACACAGGTGCAATCAAAATGGAGCCTCCTTCCCCACCCTATTTTTCAGAAAAAGTTCAGTTGTACAATAAACCTCATGAGGAGTCTTCCAACTCCCTTATGGCTATTGAATGCCGTGTGTGTGGGGACAAGGCCTCTGGATTTCATTATGGTGTGCATGCATGTGAGGGCTGTAAGGTAAGTCGTGAAAAATGTATTTTTTCTCACATAAGATTTGATACTATTTTCATCTGAACAATCACTTGGTAAAATCAGAGATCTATGCTTTTTTAAAAAAAAGTTTTAGGTCTTTCAGTAAATTGTTCCACATATACTGCATATACCTTATGATTTAATAAGTGGGAGGTTTTTTAAATATAAATTGCTTTTTTATTATTTATGTTACTGATCTATTAGAATTTTTTGTGCATTTCTTCTACTTTTGTCAATTATGCAATTATATTTCATTCC